TCCGGTACCTCCTCTGCCCCCCCCACCCCCCTATCCGTCTCTCTCTCCCCCGTGGGCCCCCACAGTCTTTTGCTCCCCTGCGCCGCTTTAGCCTGTTTTCCTCCTTCCAAGCCTCGCGGTCTTTCATTTTTCTCCTCCGTCCCCGTCCCCCCTTTTCTCTCCGTTCCTCTTAAACAAAAATCCAAAAAATCACATTGTATGATTTTTAAGTAATTAATTTGAATTGTATTGCATGACATAAGTATTTGATCACCTACCAACCAGTAAGAATTCCAGCTCTCACAGACCTGTTAGTTTTTCTTTAAGAAGCCCTCCTGTTCTCCACTCATTACTTGTATTAACTGCACTTGTTTGAACTCGTTACCTGTATAAAAGACACCTGTCCACACACTCAATCAAACAGACTCCAACCTCTGCACAATGGCCAAGACCAGAGAGCTGTGTAAGGACATCAGGGATAAAATTGTAGACCTGCGCAAGGCTGGGATGGGCTACAGGACAATAGACAAGCAGCTTGGTGAGAAGGCAACAACTGTTGGCGCAATTATTAGAAAATGGAAGAAGTTCAAGATGACGGTCAATCACCCTCAGTCTGGGGCTCCATGCAAGATTTCACCTCGTGGGGCATCAATGATCATGAGGAAGGTGAGGGATCAGCCCAGAACTACACGGCAGGACCTGGTCAATGACCTGAAGAGAGCTGGGACCACAGTCTCAAAGAAAACCATTAGTAACACACTACGCCGTCATGGATTAAAATCCTGCAGCGCACGCAAGGTCCCCCTGCTCATGCCAGCGCATGTCCAGGCCCGTCTGAAGTTTGCCAATGACCATCTGGATGATCCAGAGGAGGAATGGGAGAAGGTCATGTGGTCTGATGAGACAAAAATATATATTTTTGGTCTAAACTCCACTCGCCGTGTTTGGAGGAAGAAGAAGGATGAGTACAACCCCAAGAACACCATCACAACCGTGAAGCATGGCAGTGGAAACATCATTCTTTGGGGATGCATTTCTGCAAAGGGGACAGGACGACTGCACCGTATTGAGGGGAGGATAGATGGGGCCATGTATCGCGAGATCTTGGCCAACAACCTCCTTCCCTCAGTAAGAGCATTGAAGATGGGTCGTGGCTGGGTCTTCCAGCATGACAACGACCCGAAACACACAGCCAGGGCAACTAAGGAGTGGCTCCGTAAGAAGCATCTCAAGGTCCTGGAGTGGCCTAGCCAGTCTCCAGACCTGAACCCAATAGAACATCTTTGGAGGGAGCTGAAAGTCCGTATTGCCCAGCGACAGCCCCGAAACCTGAAGGATCTGGAGAAGGTCTGTATGGAGGAGTGGGCCAAAATCCCTGCTGCAGTGTGTGCAAACCTGGTCAAGACCTACAGGAAACGTATGATCTCTGTAATTGCAAACAAAGGTTTCTCTACCAAATATTAAGTTCTGCTTTTCTGATGTATCAAATACTTATGTCATGCAATAAAATGCAAATTAATTACTTAAAAATCATACAATGTGATTTTCTGGATTTTTGTTTTAGATTCTGTCTCTCACAGTTGAAGTGTACCTATGATAAAAATTACAGTCCTCTACATGCTTTGTAAGTAGGAAAACCTGCAAAATCGGCAGTGTATCAAATACTTGTTCTCCCCACTGTATATCTTTGTGCAGTAATTATATACATTTTCCTCAAAATGGGTTTCCCGCTTTTGGTTCCTTAAAACGTATTAAAACAGTTTAGATCTTAGAACATGAAAGAATGCAGATTAGCCTCCCCATCAATTATGATTTTCATTTATTTAAAGACTGTAGTAATTAAAAACAACAATTGAAAATCTCCCTTTAATTCTATTTACAAAACTTTCCATGTAACAACTTTCTTACTGCCCTATATTTAATGAACAGTATCAAGGTGTGAGATTTGAACAGGAATTTCACAGTGTGAAATATACCCAAAATATTATACAAAAGATGATTTACATGTTTTATCTGAACAAAGTAAAAGAGCTTTCATCTCAATGATCTCATTAATAACAAACAAAGTCACATAAAAACATACAAAATGTAGCAACAATAAAGTCTGTTATATGGGGTAAAGTGCAGAGTAGGCCTCAAGCAGGCATATCTATCGGCCGAAAACAGGACGTTGTCTTTTTTTTTAACCTATTAACAAATCACATGATAATCACTTCATATACAGACAGGAGTCCGCTCTCATCTCGGCCTCTTACATTACGAAATAACATGTCTTATTTTTGTTAGAAATGGGAAATAAATGTAACTTTACACACAAACATCTCAAGCCACCATAGTAGATCTAAGCTAAGATCAACAACAAAAAAGTCCCTGACTAGTGCCATGCAGGCTGGCATAGAAATAGGTTAATCATATCTTTATCTACAGTGCCAACTGCCAAGTCTGCACTTAAGCAAGAAGGAGCAGATACTGTAGAAGATTTGGCAGGAATTGTGGGAGGTAGAGTCTTGTTATGGACGGCATTCACCTCAAGTTGCCACAATACAACAACAGATTTCTCTGTTGATATGTAATGCCATCACCAGCAACATGATATCAGAAAAAGGGAACTGAAACAATCATTATATAACTAAGACAATAGCTGCCTCTTGCATAACACAAAATGTTTTGAAATGGTTTTCCAATATTATCATAATCAACCACCAGGTGAAAATGTCTGTGTTAAATTGAAGCTGATACCAATTCTCTCAGATTAATAAGACTCTAGTCCATTGTTTTTCATGTTTACTGTTGCGTTACATTAAACTGACCTCATGGAGGCGAGCCCTGGTCAAGACATAGATATAGACACAGATCAGAATTTTCCACCAGCAGAAAAAGGAAGGACAAAACAAAAGAAACTGCTGCAGTAGAACTGTTGAAGCAACAGGCTGGCTGTTGGTAACAAGGTTGGTTAATGTTACAATACATTCCAGAGATTACACAAAGTCAAAGGTTGAATTCCAAATGGCACCCTATTCTTTCTAGTCAAAAGTAATGCACTATTTAGCCTAACATTTCTTCCCATACACATTGTAGCAGAATCAAAGCTCAGGGAGCATAGTGCCAGGCACAGTAGTATCCATCAAAACCTGTCGTCACGCTCGTTGATTGACGGCTCGGACCAAGGTGCAGCGTGGTATGCGAACATTATAATATATTAACTGAATACAGATCAAACAACAAAATACAAAGAACCGACCGTTCTGCATGCTACACAGCTACTAACCATAAACAAGATCCCACAAACTAAGGTAAGAAAATGGCTGCCTAAGTATGATCCCCAATCAGAGACAACGATCGACAGCTGCCTCTGATTGGGAACCACACCCGGCCAACATAGAAATACAAAACCTAGAATGGACACCCAAATCACACCCTGACCTAACCAACTAGAGAATAAAAGGGATCTCCAAGGTCAGGGCGTGACAAAACCTGATGATCAACAAATCTTTGATGAAATGAAACATGTACAGTCTTACGAAACCAATTTTACTTAATGTTTATGGAAAAGTACAGTGTTCACTCGTTAACAATGTTCCCTCGCGTGGGCGCGCAGATCCCCGGGAATGCCGTGCAGAAGAAATATCAGCCCATGCAGAGAAGCACGAGATTGAATTTCACTTAACTTTCTCGTTTTCCCCGTTAGTTAACACTATCAATGTTTCCCTTTACTGTGGGAATTGTGATCGAATCAACGCAATAATAGCTACTTTCAATGCAACTTACCGAAACAAAATTAACTTTATTTTGTGAAGTGCTTTCTTGCATCAAACACAAAATGTTCAGTCACCTCCTTGTCTGAAGGACAAGTGGATAAACAGGTTAATGTCAAGCCCGGCATGTTTTTGTCTCATTGAATGTAGGCCTACATTGAACACCACACATTGGCTGCTACTGTAGGCTGAACAATAGAACAGCTATTTCCATGTTAAAATGTTATGGGATGCATTTGCTCCATTGTTTTTTATGGTAGGCCACTCTGGTAGGCCTACATTATGATAGCCACACTAGCCTACTTGACCACTGTTAAAACTAACTTAAAACGGGTACAGCCTCAGTGTTCACAGTAAACGCTCGCCAGAGGTTGCACAGAATTTTTGCAACGTTCAAGTTTGCGCTCAGCAGACCTGAAATTTGCTCAGTCATGAAAAAAACATTGCTGTATAGAACCGTTCATGTTAGGCTTTTAAACTCATCAACCACAGTCATCAACCACAGTGCTTAAAGACTGGTATTATCAGTAGATTAAGAAGAAACAAATGCCTCAATCAGAATGACCTGAGTGCCAAAGTGACTGTCATCGGACACTTAACAGGAAACAGTCCATCAAACGATAGTGATGGTGACAAGCCCCTTATTGATTGTCAAGGAAACAGTCCCTTCCAGAGACTGCCAGTTAACGAATCAGTTACTAGAGACTGGAATGCTGATCCTATGAACTGTCACTGTTTAGACCTGGAGAGAGGGAGCGGGAGGGAGGGAAAGAGAAAGAGAGTGAAAGAAAAAGAGACCGACAGAGACAGACAGACAGAGAAGGCGAGAGAGAGAAAGATGGAGAGAATGAGAGAGAAATATCATATTGTTACAAAATAATAGAAAGTAAAAACAGGAGAGACACCACTAATCATTACAAGGAACAAGGACAGCATGTAAACTACATGATAACTACAAGGTTAACTACAAGATAATCAATAATTTAAAAAAACATGTCCCCATGAAGCTATGATACTGAATAGAAAGATCTCTATTATAAATACAGTAGATGTAGATACAATATACTTTAGATAGATATATTCATTATAGATGTACAATATAAATATAGATATATTAATTGTAGATTGAACACATGGACACAGTACCTTTTGCTTCAACATCTTCATCATGCCTGGTTTCTGTTTGGTGGCCACCTAAAAAAGAAAAAGACAGTCAGTGATCGTGATGTCTGTATGTCTCATCATGATGTCTGTCTGTTGGATGGCCACTGTGACCTATAACCGACAAGAACAAGTGAGAAGCTGATCTGTGACATAATGTGGAGGAAAGTCATCTAACATTTAAATCTCCAGAGGAGCATTGCCTCCTCCAACATTCAGTGGAATTAAGAGTTGGGCAGAAAGTGATGGAGATTCTTTAGTGGACTATAAGATAAAACTGGGTTAATCACGAACATAGAGTTAGAGTTCTTTGTTATTGGGCCAGGAACTTAATTGGATAATTTCACTGTGTGTGTGGGGGTTTGTGTATGTTTCAAGGATTTAGGGACCTGTCATGTCCAACAATCCGTCTTCAGGTCAAGAGTTTAAACAGAGTTTAAACTAAACATTAGTGTTTTTGCAAGATAAGGGATTGATTGATGGTATTATTATTGATTCTGAACTGAATGAAAGTCGAATTTAGCCGCCACCATAGACAAAGGGAGTGGGCGGAGTAATAAAAGAGCGGGAAACTTAAGAGGGAGGGACTATACAGCTAGGGTGTGTGGAGGGCACTATATAAGATGGAGAGAGGGCGGGGGAGGCTAGGCTACTCTGCAGACCAGCTTCCTTTTATTGAAATTCAATAAAGTAAATCTTCATTCAACAAAAACTCTGTAAGAACTTTTATTGTTAATAAAGTATAGTGATGAATTTCTACAACAAAAGAGAAAAGTTAGTCAAGACAGCAAGTCTTCCCTCACAGTGCAGATAGGCCCATATTTCACCCAACATTACATAATAGTAAGACCCAAATAAATAATCTCCCTTCACCACAGCCACGCAGCTAAACTACCTTAATTAGGACAGGGGTGAGTCAATTATTACGATTTCCCCATGAGAACAGTACAAAAGCGGAGACATCATCATCGCCAACTGGTTTGGTAAACAATTAGTAATCATCAAGCCTCCATTTTATACTCCACTTGTGACGGACGAAACACTTCCCTTTGACTTACATTCAATCACCCTAGTAGTCATGTTTAATAGAATAGCTAAGACAGATACTGTGTGTACAGCATATCAGATATTATACAGGGACAGATACAGGGATGGACTGGGACCAGAAACCAGGCCCATGTTTGCCCCTGGAGGCCCCCATACCTGCCCTAGACTGATAGGACAGACACTGTGTGTACAGCATATCAGACATAAGGGCCCAATGCAAACAAAGTATCTCCCTCTGGAGCTACAGTAAAGAGGAACAGAGAGAGGATGTGGTTAGTGAGGAGATTTGGAAGGGTGACAACAGACAGACATGTGTTCCGGGTGAGTGGCCACTGTTTCACAGTTTTACTGTCCAAGGCTGAGTGGCTAGTTTCACAAACCAAAAGCATGTGAATGTTAGCCTGGTCAAATAGCTGTTTGTACTACTCTTGCCAACTCCATAGCTCATTGTCAAGACAAAGATGTTTACGCATGACGATGAGTGACAAGGAGTTGGCATGATAGCCCAAACAGACTGGCACTCAGGCTATGTGAATGCATTATGGAGTATTGCTTTTGCTTTGGAAAATGTAATAATTTGTTGAGTTATAATTTTGATCAAATAGTCAAAATATGATGTTGGTCATTATAAAGTATATGTATTGCTTTTACAGGGAATTCTGTGAACTGTCTAGAAAAGATGGGAAACCATAAACCCAAAGTGATAAATAAATATAAACTATTCAATATTTCAATAAATACTGAATATAGAAGGACATACTCATTAATGGCAAGGTGGACTTCCTTCGAGCTCCTGTCAAAAAAGACACAAAACCTACTATTACAATTTATCTTAAAACAAATTAAATAAAAAAGATAATAATTAAACCAAAAGCGATGTTGATGAACAATAGATAGCCTACTAGTGCAGTTAGTACTTAATCCATTAATAGATAATAGTATTATTATAATATTATACACTGAGTATACAAATCATTTAGGACACCTGCTCTTTCCATGACATAGACTGACCAGGTGAATCCAGGTGAAAGCTATGATCCCTTATTGATGTTTAAATCGACTTCAATCAGTGTAGATGAAGGGGAGGAGACAGGTTAAAGCAAGATTTAAGCCTTGATACAATTGAGACATGGATTGTGTATGTGCCACTCAGAGGGTGAATGGGCAAGACAAAATATTTAAGTGCCTTTGAATGGGGTATGGTAGTAGGTACCAGGCGCAACTGTAGAACTGCAAAGCTACTGGGTTTTTCACGCTCAACAGTTTCCCGTGTGTATCAAGAATGGTCCACCACCCAAAGGACAACCAGCCAACTTGACACAACTGTGGGAAGCATCGGAGTCAACATGGGCCAGCATCCCTGCGGAACTCTATCGACACCTTGTAGAGGCCATCCCCTGACAAATTGAGGCTGTTCTGAGGGCAAAAGGAGTTTGCAACTCAATAATAGGAAGGTGTTCCTAATGTTAGGTATACTCAGTGTATATTATATTATAATAGTATTATGGATTGTGTTAAGTATTAACTATACTGTTATTCATGGTTAATAGTATGCCACTACATGCCACTGATTTGACTACTCTAAACGATATGCTGAGTTACCAGACAACATTACAGGTTGTGTAATCCCCCATGCAAAGCCAAAATGGATGGCTGCCAGAGCATGCAGGCTTGGCAGAGGAAGGGCCTCTGTACAGGTTAATCTAGCACCAGCTAGCATGACAAACAGATACATGATCAGATACATGATCAATGCTCCATGATATGATATTTGTTTATGGAGTTATACACACACAACAGTCTCTACTGTATGAGTATGACAATTCATGTACTTACGTTGGGCGGAGCGCCTCCTAAATATCAGCAGCGCAGCAAGGAGTCCAACGATCAGAGATCCTATGACTACAACCGGGGCAAGCCACTTGGGGGTGGACACAGAATCCAAGTTGTCAGCTTTCCTACCTGGACAGACAAAATTGACAAAAATTGGGAGTTACAAAATAAATAGGCAATTCATATGAAGTCAAGAGAAAAAGGTTAGCTATGCTTGGGTCAAAGTCAGAATCAGGGCATTTCAGACACACAGACTTGAGCTCTGTTCTAATCTAAATGCATCTTAATAACCTTTAACTGCAGTGGGCTAAATCAGGATCACACAGAGAGATTATTGGTAAAAACAAATCTATGTCAAAACCGTTTGACATAGAAACACCGGATTTTCGTAGTTTTTTAAAATAATATTACATAAATGCTTCAAAATTCACAAAAGGTTACGTTAACTGATGAAGATTATCTCATAGAACAAAACGTATAAGATCTCATAAGCCTATGTTTACCACAGACCTTATTTTTGCAGTTTATCCAAAAACACTACAAAAACTCCATTCATTTTCTCAATAGGCTTTGTCCAACGAACCGTGGTGGAGTTAGTGCCTTCAAAAAGACGCCATTACTATTGCGCTCTATTGTTTCTTATCCAAACAAAGACAAACATTTTCCTGTTGTTCGAGTTTCAAGGAAGGTGTTCAGTCAGAATCGGGAGCATGTTATGGCCTGACCTAGGGCAGTGTTATAATTCTTTGTATCTACTCCACTCCTCAGTGACATGTTGTTCTCTCATTATAAGGCTGACTTTTATTGCGTTCAGAAATCTGATAAAGACGTCGTAAAAAAGACCTATGCTAATAAAAGTAGACTAGATTGAGGCTGAATTGTTTTACAATTATCAGGGTCAGGATGAGGGAATAAGATAAACTGGCAGGTTTTGGACTTGGCCCTGCTTTCACAAAGGATGACATCACCAACATATTCATACCATTAGGTAGCAGCCATGGCAGAACATACCTAAGTCTCGGGACATAAACTGGATCTCAAATGATGCCTTCCCCTCCAGGGCTCCATTGACATTGAGCACTTTGCACGTGTAGTTCGTGTAACTGGATGTTGCCTTCAACACTGTGAATTTACTGGCGAGGCTAAACAGTCCATCGTCAGTCTCTTTGGCCACCAGTTCAGCACTGCGCGTCCAATTGTTGCCAGACTGATCAAACCACCAGATCAACCCTTTCTGGTGCCCGCCTGTAGAGTTGCAGAAAATGGTCACATCTGTGTTCTCTTGGATGTTGGTGTCAGGGATGGAGCTCATGGTTGGAGTTTTGTACTTAGCTGGAAGAGAGCGAGAGTAAGGGGAAATTATATTATACATGTGGGTGCTATTTGGTACATCAGTAGTTATACAACGTCAGTGGGTAAACATTGTCTAGACGGACTTTGCACCTTTTCAACGTCAATCCAACGATTATAACTTGGAATGAGATTACAGTGGGAGTGATTTTAATAAACTGGAATGACCTTTCTTTTATCACTCACATGTTCTAATCGAGTCTGTGTACATTATTTGTAAACACTGATTGCATGCCATGGGCAGAATGGCATTATGGAGGCTAGTGGTGGACGTTGTACTACTGTGTACCATTTGAGCAATGTCATTCTGAAACAGAAAGTAAACAACGCTCCTGCTGTGCTGTCCAATCACACACCTACAAATAGATCTGAACTCCCCCTGAGAATATTACAGAATAAACATCCTTATCAACTTTGTATCATGACTGTATGGAAGTGCTTTCTCAGAAAATAAAAGTATGTTCTACTGTATTTCACAATTCTATCCTCGATGCAAGACTTCGTGGTTGTATGGTTGTGTGCACGTGTGTGTGTGTGTGTGTGTGACAACAATGGAAGTTGAATAGAACTTTCCAAAGGATTTCAGCGTATGGGCATCATAACCTATGAGCCGAGACACATAAAAAAAAAAAAGTTGTCTATTCTTCTATTGCACTCCAAGCTTGGCTGAATATCTCACATGTTTAGTTTGCTCCTTTCATGAACCGGTGTTGAAAAATTTGTATATTTTCCTAAAATGACACTGTAGACGGTCTATGACTCACCTGTGACACTGAGTCTGGGTGTAGCTTTGGCAGTCCCAACTTCTGTTTCCACCTCGCATTCATACTCCCCATTGTCGGCCATCTTGGTATTTGTCAACAACAAGGACACATTCATATTCTTCTTGTTCCAGGATGGCTCAGCAAATTTAAACCCAGGGGTTGGGTCCATTTTATCTTTATGGTATTCCAACAAATTAGCAGCAGCAGCTCCCACTCTCTTCCAGGTCACCGTTATGATGGTCACATCCTCAACCACTGGTTTGACAACGCACTCTAGAATTGACTGCTGACCATAAACCCCATGGTATTCTGTTTTACACTCCAGTTTGACAAATGCTGTTAGTAAAATATCAGAGAAAAAAATTGACATTAATACAAGAGAGAATTACTGTTATTGTAGTCAGTTTTATCATGTGACCAATCTTATTGAACTTTTGGTTTAAAAAATAATACACAGTTCTCCCAAACCACAGAGAAAGGTAACAATCATCTGAAAACTATTTTTGTATATAACATTTTATAACCATTATCATGGCATTCATGGCACAACTTACTCTCAGAGGAATTTCCAGCTCTGATACAGGCAAAATGGATCACTAAAAACAGCAAGCTGGTAGCTGAAGTCATCTTTGGATTCCTGAGTAGGAAGACAGAAATGTACAATGACAACACTTGTCACAGCAGTATGAGGTCAGACTATAGACTGCGTGAGGTAGGTCTTTAGACTGCCTGTCACTCACAATGGCTCTGGACTGTCATCCGAAAATAAACATAAAACAGTTGCTAACAGAAACCAGACAGAAATTAATTATAATCCAGTGCTGAATATGTCTTAACCAGTGCTTGACTGTCCGGAACTGTCCGGCACACCATACTGGCACTTTTAATTTTTGGGGATTTGCTTACCGGCTCCTTTGTAAAAACAAAGTAGCCTATCGCTGGCCCAGATTCACACACCGAAGAAAAAAAGGTTAATCAAACCGGATTTATTTTTGGGTGTATTTTATTAGGATCCCCATTAGCTGTTGCAAAAGCAGCAGCTACTCTTCCTGGGGTCCACACAAAACATTAATAGACAAGAACTACATACATATTTTTTTTAAAGGCACACGTAGCCTACATATCAATACATACACACAAACTATCTAGGTCAAATAGGGGAGAGGCGTTGTGCCGTGAGGTGTTATCTGTTTTTTGAAACCAGGTTTGCTGTTTATTTGAGCAATATGAGATGGAACGGAGTTCCATGCAAAATGGCTCTATATAATACTGTACGCTTTCTTGAATTTGTTCTGGATTTGGGGACTGTGAAAAGACCCCTGGTGGCATGTCTGGTGGGGTAAGTGTGTGTGTGTCAGAGCTATGTGTAAATTGACTATGCAAACAATTTGGGATTTTCAACACATGAATGTTTCTTATAAAAAGAAGAAGTGATGCAGTCAGTCTCTCCTCAACTCTTAGCCAAGAGAGACTGGCATGCATAGTATTTATATCAGCCCTCTGATTACAATGAAGAGCAAGACGTGCCGCTCTGTTTTGGGCCAGCTGCAGCTTAACTAGGTCTTTCCTTGTAGCACTGGACCACAGGACTGGACAATAATCAAGATTAGACAAAACTAGAGCCTGCAGAACATGCTTTTTGGAGTGTGGTGTCAAAAAATCAGAGCATCTCTTTATTACAGACAGACCTCTCCCCATCTTTACAACCATTGAATCTATATGTTTTGACCATGATAGTTTACAGTCTAAGGTAAAGCCAAGTAATTTAGTCTCCTCAACTTGTTCAACAGCCACACCATTCATTACCAGATTCAGCTGAGGTCTACAACATAGGGAATAATTTGTACCAAATACAATGCTCTTAGTTTTAGAGATGTTCAGGACACACCATCACACCTCCTCCATGCTTCACGGTGGAAACCACACATGCGGATCATCCTACTCTGCGTCTCACAAAGACACGGCAGTTGGAACCAAAAATCTCACATTTGGACTCATCAGACCAAAGGACACATTTCCACCGGTCTAATGTCCATTGTTCGTGTTTCTTGGCCCAAGCAAGTCTCTTCTTCTTATTGGTGTCCTTTAGTAGTGGTTTCTTTGCAGCAATTCGACCATGAAGGCCTGATTCACACAGTCTCCTCTGAACAGTTGATGTTGAGATGTGTCTGTTACTTGAACTCTGTGAAGCATTTATTTGGGCTGCAATTTCTGAGGCTGGTAACTCTAATGAACTTATACTCTGTAGCAGAGGTAACTCTGGGTCTTCCTTTCCTGTGGTGGTCCTCATGAGAGCCAGTTTCATCATAGCGCTTGATGGTTTTTGCGACTGCACTTGAAGAAACTTTCAATGTTCTTGAAATGTTCCTGATTGACTGACCTTCAAGTCTTAAAAGTAATGATAGACTGTCATTCCTCTTTGCTTATTTGAGCTGTTCTTGCCATAATATGGACTTGGTCTTTTACCAAATAGGGCTATCTTCTGTATACCACCCCTACCTTGTCACAACACAACTGACTGGCTCAAATGCATTAAGAAGGAAAGAAATTACACAAATTAACTTTTAACAAGGCACAACTGTTAATTGAAATGCATTCCAGGTGACTACCTCATGAAGCTGGTTGAGAGAATGCCAAGAGTGTGCAAAGCTGTCATCAAGGCAAAGGGTGGCTATTTGAAGAATCTCAAATATAAAATATATTTTGATTTGTTTAACACTTTTTTGGTTACTACATGATTCCATATGTGTTAAAGGGGAAGTAAAGGAGAAGGAAGTTCTATAACTATAATTCAGTTTATGAACTCAGCACTTAACTTGTTTGTGGTTTAGGGACAAAAACGAACAAACAATTCCATTTGGTATACTTGACATGGAGAAAGCGCCAAAATGTTTGATAACACAAAAGGAAACATAACATGCATTTGCAGGACTCAGAACTTTCACTACGCAAATAGATAAAGGGGTCATATAGCTTGTTCGACAAGGGAAAGTCCACCATGTATTTTAAGGGTACTATTAGCCCTAAGCAAAGAAACATGACTAATACCTCACAAATCTACCCCTCGTGAAGCATAGCCTAACAGTACCCATTATGGTTTTGTCAGTGGCAAACAACTCACAACAACCGCCTGTAGACAATCCGAGTTTTTCTCAACTCCATGTACTCAACTGTAGGCAGGCTAAGCTTTTCGAACACAGTAACATTTCCAACATAAAGCCCAATGGCATAACATTTCAAAATATATTTTTTATTTTATTATCACGAGTGCTTGACAGTGACCGTCGTGGACTCGTGGTTTAATCGGTAAACGCACAATTATAAACCAATATCAACGGGCAACAATTAAGAATATGTATTCAGAAAAACAAAACATAGGCTACAGACACGGAAAACGTTAATCTTACCGCGCAAACCCTTCAGGCTGTTGACGTTTAGAAGATGTCGAAGGTCAGAGCGAATCTCTAAAGATCGTAACATTGACAGGCAACAGAATGTATTCCTACTTTCGCTTTCGCTATTATTAGTATGGGTGACGTGCCTTCAGAAAGTATCGACACCTCTGGACTTTTTGTTGCGTTACAGCCTGAATTTAAAATGGATCAAATATCGTTTTTTTGGCACTGGCCTACACACAATACCGCATAGTGTCAAAGTGGAATTATGTTTTTTGACATTTTACAAGTTAATAAAAAATGAATAGCTGAAATGTCAAATACATTCAGGAGTAAAAATGTGCTTAACAAGTCACATAATAAGTTGCATGGACTCATTCTGTATGCAATAATAGTGTTTAACTGAGGAACACATTAAGAATCTCCAATCCAAAGTTAAATCTAGAATCGGTTTCCTATTTCGCAACAAAGCCTCCTTCACTCATGCTGCCAAACATGCCCTCGTAAAACTGACTATCCTACCGATCCTTGACTTCAGCGATGTCATTTACAAAATAGCCTCCAACACTCTACTCAGCAAATTGGATGTAGTCTATCACAGTGCCATCCGTTTTGTCTCCAAAGCCCCATATACTACCCACCATTGTGACCTGTACGCTCTTGTTGGCTGGTCCTCACTACATATTTGTCGCCAAACCCACTGGCTCCAGGCCATCTATAAATCACTGCTAGGCAAATCCCCGCCTTATCTTAGCTCATTGGTCACCATAGCAACACCCACCCCTAGTATGCGCTCCAGCAGGTATATCTGGATGACTTCGTCAACCACTTTGAAAAGAAGGTTGACGACATCCGATCCTTGTTTGTTAAGTCTAATGACACTGCTGGTCCTGCTCACACTGCCCTACCCTATGCTTTGACTTCTTTCTCCCCTCTCTCTCCAGATAAGATCCTGCGACTTGTGACTGCAGGCCGCCCAACAACCTGCCCGCTTGACCCCATCCCCTCCTCCCTTCTCCAGACCATCTCCGGTGACCTTCTCCCCTACCTCACCTCGCTGATCAACTCATCCTTGACCGCTGGCCATGTCCCTTCCGTCTTCAAGAGAGCGAGAGTTACTCCCCTTCTCAAAAAACCAACACTCGACCCCACTGATGTCAACAACTACAGACCAGTATCCCTTCTTTCTTTTCTTTCCAAAACTATTGAGCGTGCCGTCTTTAGCCAACTCTCTTGCTATCTCTCTCAGAATGACCTTCTTGATCCAAACCAATCAGGTTTCAGGACTGGTCATTCAACTGAGACTGCTCTTCTCTGTGTCACAGAGACTCTCCGCACTGCTAAAGCTAACTCTCTCTCCTCTGCTCTTGTCCTTCTAGACCTGTCTGCTGCCTTTGATACTGTGAACCATCAGATCCTCCTCTCCACCCTCTCCGAAATGGGCATCTCCGGCGCGGCTCACTCCTGGATTGCGTCCTACCTGACCGGTCGCTCCTACCAAGTGGCGTGGCGGGAAGCTGTCTCCGCACCACGTGCTCTCACCACTGGTGTCCCCCAGGGATCGGTTTTGGGCCCTCTCCTTTTCTCCCTATACACCAAGTCACTTGGCTCTGTCATATCCTCACATGGCCTTTCCTATCATTGCTACGCTGACGATACACAACTAATCTTCTCCTTTCCCCCTTCTGATAACCAGGTGGCGAATCGCATCTCTGCATGTCTGGCAGACATATCAGTATGGATGACGGATCACCACCTCAAGCTGAACCCTGGCAAGACGGAGCTGCTCTTCCTCCCGGGGAAGGACTGCCCGTTCCATGATCTCGCCATCACGGTAGACAACTCCGCTGTGTCCTCCTCCCAGAGTGCGAAGAGCCTAGGCGTGACCCTGGACAACACCCTGTCGTTCTCCGCCAACATCAAGGCGGTGACCCGCTCCTGCAGGTTCATGCTCTACAACATTCGGAGAGTGCGACCCTGCCTTACACAGGAAGCGGCGCAGGTCCTGGTCCAGGCACTTGTCATCTCCCGTCTGGACTACTGCAACTCGCTGTTGGCTGGGCTCCCTGCCTGTGCCATTAAACCCCTACAACTCATCCAGAATGCCGCAGCCCGTCTGGTGTTCAACCTTCCCAAGTTCTCTCACGTCACCCCCCCTCCTCCGCACACTCCACTGGCTTCCAATTGAAGCTCGCATCCGCTACAAGACCATGGTGCTTGCCTTTGGAGCAGTGAGGGGAACGGCACCCCTGTACCTTCAGGCTCTGATCAGTCCCTACACCCAAACGAGGACATTGCGTTCATCCACCTCTGGCCTGCTGGCTCCCCTTCCTCTGCGGAAGCACAGCTCCCGCTCAGCCCAGTCAAAACTGTTCGCTGCTCTGGCACCCCAATGGTGGAACAAGCTCCCTCACGACGCCAGGACAGCGGAGTCACTCACCACCTTCCGGAGACATTTGAAACCCCACCTCTTTAAGGAATACCTGGGATAGGCTAAAGTATTCCTTCTAACCCCCCCCCCCCCCCCCCCCCCCCCCCCCCCCCCCCCCCCCCCCCCCAAATTGTAAAGTGGTTATCCCACTGGCTATAGGGTGAACGCACCAATTTGTGAGTCGCTCTGGCTAAGAGCGTCTGCTAAATGACGTTAATGTGCCCTTGAGCAAGGCACTTAACCCTAATTGCTCCTGTAAGTCGCTCTGGTTAAGAGCGTCTGCTAAATGACTAAAATGTAAATGTAAAATGTATCTCACTGGTCATCCCCAAAGCCAACACCTCATTTGGCCGCCATTCCTTCCAGTTCTCTGCTGCCAATGACTGGAACAAATTGCAAAAATCTCTGAAGCTGGAGACACTTATGTCCCTCACTAACTTTAAGCATCAGTTGTCAGAGCACCTTACCGATCACTGCACCTGTACACAGCCCATCTGAAATTAGCCTGCCCAACTACCTCATCCCTATATTGTTATTTATTTTTCTAATTTGCACCCCAGTATCTCTATTTGCACATCATCTCTTGCACATCTATCATTCCAGTGTTAATACTAAATTGTAATTATTTTGCACTATAGCCTATTTATTGCCTTACCTCCATAACTTGCTACATTTGCACACACTGTATATATATTTTCTGTTGTATTTTTTACTTTGTTTTGTTTTACCCCATATGTAACTCTGTGTTGTTGTTTTTTATCGCACTGCTTTGCTTTATCTTGGCCAGGTCGCAGTTGTAAATGAGAACTTGTTCTCAACTGGCTTACCTGGTAAAATAAAGGTGAAATAAAAATAAAAATAAAAATAAAGATGGGGACCAATAACATTGTACTTACTCTCCACAATACTAACCTAATTGACAGAGTGAAAAGAAGGAAGCCTGTACAGAATAAAAATATTCCAAAACATGAATCCTGTTTGCAACAAGGCACTAAATTAATACTGCAAAAAATATGGCAGAGCAATTAACTTTTGGTCCTGAATACAAAGTGTTATGTTTGGGACAAATCCAATACAACACATTACTGAGTACCACTCTCCATATTTTCAAACATAGTGGTGGCTTTATCGTATTATGGGTATGCTTGTCATTGTTAAGGACTGTGGAGTTTTTCAGGATAAAAAAGAAACGCAATGGAGCTAAACACAGGCGAAATCCTAGAGGAAAACCTGGCACACTCTGCTTTCCATCAGACACTGGGAGATTAATTCACCTTTCAGAAGGACAATAACCTAAAACACAAGGTCAAATCTACACTGGAGTTGCTTACCAAAAAGACAGTGAATTTTCCTGAGTGGCCGAGTTGTAATTTTGACTTAAATCTACTTGAAAATCTAGCAATGATCAACAACCAATTTGAAGAATTTTGAAAAGAATAAATGGGCAAAGTTGCACAATCCAGGTGTGGAAAGCTATTGGAGTGTCATGAACCCTGCGTCCTGAGTCTGTTCCTGCCTGTGTTGCTGTTTTTCTGCTCTGAATCTCCTGTTTCCCGAAGGTGCCTGAACGCACCCTGTCCGGTTGCCGGGCGACGTTGCTAGGCGGGTGATCTCTCGATTACCCGCACCTGCTTCTCATCAGCTTCGGCACACCTGGTCCTGATCGTCACCCCTTCATAAGCTCTGACCTGACATCCATTCCCTGCCGGATCGTTAGCCATAAACAGTATGTTTTGCCAGCGTATCAGCCTCTGAGTACTAGCGTTAGTTTTGTTGTTTTTTGCATCTTGTTGACCTGCCTTGTACTTACCTCCGTTTTTTCTGTCTACAGTCATTCTCCCGGAACCTTCACCCAACCCCTGCCGTGCCATCAGTTCATCTGCCACTTCACCACCACCTACTCATCTCCGCCACCCGCTCCGTCTCCTGGACTATTCTGCATATTTTTTTATCTGTAAATAAACACTCACATTCGTTCAACTCACCTTGTCCTGGTCTGCTTCTGGGTTCGGTCTTAGAGAACCGTGACAGGAGACTTACCCAGAAAGACTCACTGCCAAATGTGTTTCTACAAAGTATTGACTCAGAGGTGTGAATACTTATGTAAATGTTGTATTTCATTTTCAATAATTTAGCAAAAATGTCTAAAAACATGTTTTCACTTTATCATTATGGGGATTGTGTTTAGATGGGTGAGAATTGTTGTTGTTGAAATCAGGCTGTAACACAACAAAATGTGGAATAAGTAAAGGGGTATGAATACTTCCTGAAGGAACTGTATATTAATTTTTCTATTCATTTAACAAATATATAGGTAGAAACATTCCCAGTCAATGGTAGAAACAAACTAATTGTAGTGTATGCTACAATCAAGACCGTAGCCCCCTTCAAAAGGTTGTCCACTGTGCGTAAAATTTGATTGACATTCTGACTTGAAAGAAATATTGCAATTCAATGCCACCCCTTTCACTTGGCACCTATGCAGCACTTGCACTAGAGAAAAATATTCAGTAGCTGCCAGGGCATTTTTGCAGTTAATAAATTGCTTTCCTGCAGTCAAATTACCAAATCGCCCTCTAGTGGCCTCATGGGTCTCTTATGACCGAAAATAGCTTCTGGAAATCAGGACAGGGATTACTCACCTCGTACTGGACGAAGATTTTTTCTTTAACGAGTCGGACGCAAAGGATTTTCTTCAGACACCC